TAAAACATGATCGTGCATCACAGCCATTGTCCAGTAGATACTTCATCATCACCGTGTGCCTAATACAGATAGCCAAAACCGCTGGGAAGTTGGTGGGATGAGTTGGCAGTAGAGCATTGACATTAGCACCATGCTGTACCAGTAAGGCCACCATTTCCATACTTCCTTTCCTCGCAGCCACTAGCAGGGTGTTGAAAATGTCCAGGTTGGGGTTAGCACCTGCTTCTAACAACATTGTAGCTGCCTCAATGTTCCTGTTTACCACGGCTGAGTACAGAGCTGTGATGCGACGATCTTCATACATTTTTGACCAGTCATCTGACAGCGTGGCATTGACGTCAAATCCACCCTCAATCAACATTTCTAGAACATCATCTCTGTTACGTTCAGCAGCAAAATGAAGAGGACTAATGCCGGAGGATTTCACTTTGGCCATGTTAGTTCTTGGGATTAGCATGGCAACAATGCTGAGGAAGATGAGGAAGAGAGAAATTTATTTCTTCATGAATATAATTCTTCAATGCCATTTTCAATATAATCAATAACTGAGATGCCAGTTATGTTTGTATGAAATGGGCATGCATTTGTGGCGTGATAGGAGACACATGAAAGTAGAGCCAGTTACAGATGAGTGGACTTATATATTGCTGTGGACAATGGTGAGTATTATAGAGTGCAGTGGGCTACAAGAAGAAAAAATCCCATTCATTTACTCCATAGGGAAATTTTGATTTCTGAGCTCCAAGGCTATTAATCAATGGTATATGCTTTTGTTAAAGTGATCAGTTCTCATTATTTCAACTTATTTTTGTCAAACAGCCATGTTCAGCAGTGGAATTCCTGGTGGAAAAACTACATTGATTGAACATTGCATGATTCTGCAAAGAAAGCTCCACCGATCAGATATCAAATTTACGTCATCTCAAAAGCTGTGTAATAAAGATAAATATGGAATGTACTTATATTTAGTAGGCCTACTAACCTCTCATGACCATTCTTTGCTGCAACATGAATGGGAAGTAATCCAGCTTTGTTGGTTTTGTTAACATCAGCTCTTTTCTTCAAGAGGATCTCAACAACTTTATCATGACCATTCTTAGAAGCCTCAAACAATGCGGTTGCACCATCATTTGCCTGGGTATTAATATTACCTCCTAAAGAATAGGTACTGTAACTTGGTAAATGGTAATAGATTAAGTAAGTAAGAGATTTTTTCTCTTGTCGTACTTTACAAAAATTCTTACCTTTACAAATTAGGAAGTTAAGCACGTCGACAGCATCACACTGAGCAGTTGTAAACAGGCTGTCAATGCCATAAACATTTTTGGCCAAAAGCTTTGCCCCTGCTTGTATCAATATCTTACAAATCTCTAACTTCTTGTTCCTCGCTGCTTCATGTAGTGGAGTGCCACCTTGAATACAGGCTTTGGATGGTAAAGCTCCAAATCTCAAAAGAAGCTCCACAATCTCTTCATTAGGTTTCTCACATGCTGTAAAAAAAAACCAACATGATGGTTCAGACCTCTTTCTGGTCATTTGTGCAGTTGTTGAGAGATATCATGCTAAAAATATGTTTACCTTTGTACAGTGGTGTCTCCCACTGGTTATTTGCAATGTTAGGATCGGCTCCTTGCTCTAAGAGGTGCAATACACAAGAAACATGTTTGCAACCCACTGCCAAAAGGAGCGGTGTCTGACCTGTGTTTGTCCGTTTGTTGATTGTATCTGGTCTGGCTGTGGGAGAGATAGGATACAACTGTGATTTTGAAGAATGAGATTCTGGACTGGAAACGAATCTAAATTGATTCATTCATCACCTTTGAGCAAAATCTTAAGGCACTCGATATGGCCATAGTATGCAGCCTCATGAAGCGGTAACCAGCCGTCTTGATTGGGTTCACTGAGATTTTTAGATTCGGAATGAATGATTTCTTGTAGAGTCATTGCATCTCCTTTCAAAATGGCTGAGAGAAAAGGGTCTATATCACTGAAAGAACACAAATAAGAGAATCTTAAGAATAGGTCTGTTATCTCAATTGATGAGATCAATCCATGAGCATGATGTTGCTTTTCACTATTGACCTATTTTCGTAAGTCACACTGTTAGGCCAGTAGGTGGCAACAAGTGAGTCTTTCGTTCAAAACCAATGATTAATTCATGAAGAAAACATTAAAGTGTGTGGATCATTTATGCATTTTTGAAGAGAAAAGATGAACAAATGAATGGGAAATATTGTGTCTGAAATGTACTGTAAGTTACTCAATATTAACCTGCTAATTGAATTCCTGTACAAAAGCAACATTGCAATTGTGCTGTTGGTCTTAAAGGGTTAGTTCACCCAAAAATGAAAATTAAGTCATTAATTACTCACCCCCATGCTGTACCAACCCTGTAAGACCTTCGTTCGTCTTCGGAACACAAATGAAGATATTTTTGATTAAATTTGAGAGCTGTCTCACTACCACATTGGCTGCCTAAGGGACTGGCTCTTGACGGCCCAGAAAGTCAATGAAGAAAATGTTTAAATATCCCATGTGACTACAGTGGCTCAACTATAAGTTTATCAAAGTGACGAGAATACTTTTTGTGCGAAAAATCAAACAAAAATAACGACTTTATTCGACTATTCCTTTTCTTCCTTGTTGGCGTGAAACGAGACTTCCTTAGATTTCCACGACGCATCTCCTTCAACAACCTCAGTTCAGTTCTCGCGCTTGCGTCGTGGAAATCTAAGGAAGTCTCGTTTCAGGCCAACAAGGAAGAAAAGGAATAGTCGAATAAAGTCGTTATTTTTGTTTGATTTTTCGCACAAAAAGTATTCTCGTCGCTTGATAAACCTATAGTTGAGCCACGGTAGTCACATGGGATATTTAAACATTTTCTTCATTGACTTTCTGGGCCGTCAAGAGCCAGTCCCTTAGGCAGTCAATGTGGTAGTGAGACAGCTCTCAAATTTAATAAAAAATATCTTCATTTGTGTTCCGAAGATGAACGAAGGTCTTACGGGGTTGGTACAGCATGGGGGTGAGTAATTAAAGACTTAATTTTCATTTTTGGGTGAACTAACCCTTTAATATTAGTAATAAGTTCCTGCTAGTCAGAACAACAGCACACACACAAATTGAATGAGATCTTTCCTGCTACTCACTTCACATTCTCCACTTTGACCTGCAGGTTTCCATTGTGCCTTGTCCAGGCAATCACATTGCTTTTGTCCTTACTGAGGCAATGATATTGAACATATCTGCTTATTTGCGTACATGTGATTTCACTGAAAGTATGGCAGCAATAAAGTTTTATTATATAGAAACTTAAAAGTGATTTTTTTTTTGTATGCAATTGTTTACTTGAACCAAAGTTGTGCATAACAAGATGAGAAAACAACAACAACAATCACCTGGATGGGTTTGCTGAGTTAGGGTTAAATGATGGTTGTTGTGTACGGACAGCTGGCTCTGTGTGGGCATGCAGTTGTCGATTTTGCCATGGAGTTAAATTTACATCAGCTAGACTTCGTTCAATAGCCAACTGTAGCAACTGTTCTTCAGACATGTGTGCATACGCACTGTAGTCGTCTTCATTTGCTGTCCTTGAAACAGCCATGGCTGCTGCCATTTTACACCTGTGATAGTAAAATGCTCAGATTTTAACCCCGAAAAAAGATCAAATAATGTTGACCTAGTTTTAATCAATCAGACACACAGTCAAGACAAATTAGCTTCAAAATACCAGGTTTATAACATCATTTTTTTTCTCATGAAAAAAAAAAAATAAATAAACATTACATGTATTCATTTAGCAGACGTTTTTATCCAAAGCAACTTACAAACGAGAACAATAGAAGCAGTAAAAAAAAAAAAAACCCAAAAAACATTAAAAAAATGTACACAAGTTCCTTTACATCTTAGGTTTCATTATATCCTCATCAACATATTTCACTACTATTATTATTGAGAAGTCCACCTACCTTTCTGCAGAATATCAACAATTATTGTGTTCATGTGGTTCTCCTCCTTCTTCTGTACGGCAGTTGCTGCTGCTTGCTTTATGCAGAGCCTGATTTCACGTCACGATGTAAACAAAACTGTTAATCTTATAAATATATCTGCCAGGCTAGCATGTGATTCAGTCTAGCATGTCTGGCCTAGATGTGACATGATCATCTCTGCTTATGGGCCAAGAAACGGGAAGAGCAGAAGAACTAGTATCGTATTGGTTGACTTTGATTTGAAACTGGTAAAATCACCTTTTCCCTGAACTAGAAAACAACATTTAACCACAAATTAAATATCAACTTATGTTTTCTAAATATGTTTTCTATAGGTGAAATAATTTGTATATGTACATTGTATTTGAACATTATACTCAATAACAAATTGTGCTGTAAAGACATTGTGTCCTATGATGACCACTATACAGATTTCTACATTATTTACAAATTTACTGTCACATTTCTTAATGCGTATGTATTAGTATGCGGTCTATCCCTGAGTGACCCTATTTTCAGAGACAGCTGTCTCTGAACGCTTCAATGTGCTAGAAACCTCTCTGTGACTCTGTAAACATCTCAGATGGACACTCACCTCCTGTTCTATGACTCATGCGTTTTAATCTGTAGCCTAGTGGTGGGGCAATGAGCTTCAAAACAGTGCAAGTAATGAAATCTGAAGGTAGATGTTGTTTATTAATTATATTTCGGACCGTCTTTTGACCCTAACATGTAGTGCTGTCTGTATATTGATGGAATTCAAAATTATTGGTGTTATTGGCCATTACTTAAGGCAGCAAGAATAGTCTGAATGTATGCAAGTGCTTTTCATTGTATTATGTCTATGCTCAAAATTTATCCTTTAACACACTAGCCAACACATTAACGCGTTCAGTATTTGTTTACTGTGTACGTTACTCCAGTTATATCACATCAAATGTACATGATTAAATTTTCTTAATGTTATGAACAGCAGCATCCTTTTTAATTTGCTTTTCTTTTTTATCTTAGGATGCCCATCCCGAGGTAACTTGAGTGTTCGTCAGCTATACCCAGCCTCTTACGAAAACTTCAGATGACCCAACACCCGTGAAGAGATGGCGCCAACTCTTGCGAGGACTTCAGATGATGCAAACTCTAAATTTTCCATATTTATAATCATGTCCACAACTCGTAATAATTCCTTCAAAGAGCTAAGTGTTTCTGCCATAAATTATACATTGTTAGCTAACTGGGTGATTTGAATATGTAGGCCAACATTTCTGAAATTACTTGGACATAGCCACCTCTTATATATACCGGTATCACTCTAAATGTATGTAGACACATGCTTTTTCTTTAAAGCTGCTTTGAAACAATATGTAGTGTGAAAAGCGCTATACAAATACAAATGTGAATTGAGCTGAATGATGGGGAAAATTATATATTAATTCATTTAATTAAAAAAGTAATTTATTTGTTCAAAATAGGATTACTATTTTGAATTAATAAATTATTGAAATCAACTAATACACTAAAAAATGCTGGGTGGTTTCACCCATGGTTTGGTCAAATATGGAGACTTGATTGGATTTGTCCATATTTGACCCAACCATTGGTTGAAACAACCCAGGAATTTAGCTTCGGCTTGTTGTTGTTTGATTTGCAGGTTGAAATGATAGTAAACAGCTTTAGTGCATGAAATTAATTGTACAGACTCCTGCTTCTTTCTAATGAATACAATCAGTACATTGGCACCACCATGTGGTCAAAATATGTCAAACATCCAAATCTTTACCTGTAATATTAAAGGAATAGTTCACCCAAAAATTCTGTCATCATTTACAAATCCTCATCTTGTTTCAAACCTGTATGAGTTTATTTCTTCTGTTTCTTCTGAAGATATTTTGAAAAATGTTGGTATCCAGACTCTGTCTTGACGGTAGCCATAGAAATATTTTTTTACTACTATGGAAGTCAATGACTACCGTCAAATGTCTGGTGACCAACATTCTTCAAAATATCTTCTTTTATGTTCAACAGATTTAAATAAACTCATACAGGGTTGGAACAACATGAGGATGACTAAATGATGACAGAATTTTTATTTTTGGGTGAACTACCTTTGAGATATATATATATATATATATATATATATATATATATATATATATATATATATTTTATTCACACTCATTATTCTCTTATTTCCAGTACTAATATTACAGAACTCCCCGTATAATAAGCAAGCTTTTTCATACACATCTAAACTAAATATTGGATTTATGGAAGTCAAAATTATATTAAAAAGACTAAATCAACCTGAGAGAACTCAACCAATTCAGGTATAAATAGCTCCTTAACAATAACTCCACATTTACACTATTTACAAAATAGTTTGCAGTAAAATAATGTTTGCCATGCATTTTTCTGGTTACAACAACATTTTATTAAAATTGGATGAATAATTCGAGTCACTGATTGTCAGTGAGGATCTTCCTTTGCAAGAAGTAAGAGAAGCTTAGACATATCGTGAAGTCATGACATTTAGTTTGATATATTCAGATAGACATTCAGATATCTGAGATGGCACATGTTGAGAGGGGTATGTTGTACTGTTGACTTGTCAGTCTAGCAGTGATATGAGAAACTTAGGTCAGGGGGAGGATGCATGGATTCTTTGGGATCCCAGTGGTAGGGAGACTTACCCTTTCCAGCTGACCTGATATGACCTGTTATCCAAGAGAGATATTGATAGTGAAGATCACTGGAGGTCAAAGTAAAATGTAGTTCCTTCCAATTTGCTTGTAGTAACATGTGCTTATAAATAGGTCTGTTAACATGGTTTTAAAGTTGTTAATAGTGTTTTTTATATACTTTATGTCAAGTCACCTTTATTTATATAGCGCTTTTTTCAATACAGATTGTATCAAAGCAGCTTCACAGTGCTAACATGAAAATAATACAACACAGATCAAAAATATTGTTGAATGTCCCCAACTAAGCAAGCCAAAAGCCAACAGTGGCAAGGAACCAAAACTCCATCAGGTTACTGAATGGAGAAAAAAACCTAGGGAGATCCCAGGCTCAGTCAGGGGCCAGTTCTTCTCTGGCCAACGAATTTCCATCTGTTTGGAAGTCGAATCACGCCGGTTTGAATCAGTGCCGATGGCTGTCGTGTCGATAAGGCAGGCACTTAAGGATGAGTCGGAATGGGTCCAGGCACAGGTCCACTATAGAGGGTCCCTTGGGATAAACAGAGAAACTAATATTAGCGTAGACACCATCCTTCTTATGATGTACACAGTGCATCTGGATTTAGTGTTCCCGGTATGCTAGGCCAAAGAGATGTGTTTTTAGTAGGGCTGTGCAAAAGTTAATTGCGATTAATCGCATCCAAAATAAAAGTCTGTGTTTACATAGTATATTTGTGTGTGCTGTATATAATTATTTTGTATATATAAATACACACACATGTATGTATATGTTTAAGAAAATGTGTTATTCCTATATAAAATATTTATATTTATAGAATATAGATTATGTATTTATATATATATATACAGAATTTAAGCGCAAATAATTCTTAAATATATACATGCATGCATAGATATTTATATATACAAAATAATTATATACAGCACACTCAAATATATTATGTAAAACAGACTTTTATTTTGGATGCGATTAATCGCAATTAACTTTTGCACAGCCCTAGTTTTTAGTCTAGATTGGAACTGACCAAGTGTGTCTGCGTCCCGGACAATGTTAGGAAGATTGTTCTAGAGTTTTGGTGCTAAATGGGAAAAGGATCTCCTGCCTGCAGACGATTTCGATATTCTAGGTATCATCAACTGGCTGGAATTCCAAGATCGCAATAGACGTGAAGGACTATAATGCGTTAAGAGCTCGCTCAAGTACTGTGGAGCTAAACCATTTAGTGCTTTGTAAGTAATCAACAATATTTTAAAATTTATATGATGTTTAATAGGCAGCCAATGCAGGGTTGACAGAACCGGGCTTCTTCCTGGTTCTGGTAAGAACTCGAGCTGCTGCGTTTTGAACTAGCTGAAGTTTGTTAATTAAGCGTGCAGGGCAACCACCCAGTAGAGCATTACAATAATCTAGCATTGATGTCATGAACGCATGAACTAATTGTTCCGCATTTGTCAATAGCCGCTTTCCAACCAAGTAGTTACAGGAACTTAGTTATAGGAACTGTCCACTTCTAAACAGTTCTAAGAACTACTCTCCCCCAAACTGGCCAGGTGGCCATAGGAACTGGTAGGAAGGGAGTGACGCAAGCACGGCGACAGTCTTTATAGCGTCATCACTAGACATAGCACGGCCACATACAACAACAACAAACCAGCATGGAAGAGGCTAATGCAATGTTCCCGTTCTGCCTTGCCGGGACCTTAATAACGGAGTACGAACGGTGGCGTTTGCTAAAACACACAGCGTATAGCAGACAGCGCGCTACAAGTTCCGTGTTGACAGTGGGTGTGACATATAAGTAACTTATAAGTTGAACCAATCAATGTAGACCTAGGGAAAGGGAACTAAAAAAGTCCTTGCTCTTGACTGTACTGAAAGAGTTCTAGGAACTACGGTCTGAGGAACTAAAAAATCCCCAATTTAGTCCGGTCGGAACACGAGAAAAAAAAAGGGTTATAGGAACGTTAGGTTCTGGGAACTGCAAAAATCCCTCCAGTCGGGAAGCGGATAATGAGAGCATGTGGCTATCATGACACACGGGACAGAAGATTCAATTGCAGCAGTTTATTAATATAAGGGTAATCCAAATCGTAGTCTTCCAGGCAGGGGTCAAAATCCAAATAATAAAACTAAACATGAAAACAAAACACAAACCAACAAGAAAAAACCAAGGAAGTGGTGACCATTTACAACGAATCCGTACACATACTAACACAGACAGGGAATATATAAGCTTTAGCATAAGTTCTGCCAAGAAGACTTAATTACCGCATCACTTGTTACCTTCAGGTTATCCAATCACATTCTTATTGTTGTATAAAAGATCGGTGCTTAGACATGTCTGAGTTCGCAGATGCCGACGCGACAAAAACCATCACCCTCCCCACCACCACCACCAGGATGGTCCTGTCTATACTTCTCTGGGGGGGTCGTCTGCGCCCCTGCCTTCGTCTTCAGGCAGGAAATGCTGATCCGCTACCCTCGGATAACGATCTATGGATGGGGCCTACGCCAAAGAACTTTGCAAATAATTGCCTGCTGGGCTGCCAATAAATGGATGTTTTGTTGCATCATTTCATCTCCAAGTCTTTCTGGTAGAACTAACAAGACTAACAATGAACAGCTGGGAACAATGATGATGGGGAACAGCTGAGTGCAATGAACTGATGAGTGACAGTGACAGAGAGAATGCTGGGAAATGAAGTCAATAGTGAAGGACACTGTGATAACGAGGACCTCTAGTGACAAACAAGGGAACACAACCAGACACTGTCACAGTGGTGTAATTTAGATACATTTTTAAGATGGAAAATGTGGTTCTACAGATACATGACACATGACTTTCAAATGAGAGATTGGTATCAAAGAGCACATGCAGGTTCCTAACCGACGACGAAGACTTAACAGAGCAGCCATCAAGTGTTAGACAGTATTCTAGGCTGTTACCTGTGGAAGTTTTTTGTCCAATAATTAGAATCTCTGTTTTGTTCAGAATTTAGTAGTAGGAAATTACTAGTCATCCAATTTGACTTCCCCTGAAGACCGCTGCGGAGCCAGAGCGACCGAGGACCAAGGTGGAGCCGGAGGGAGAGAAGAGCCCAACTGAGCCCGATCGATAGAGTGACGAGGCGAAGCCAGAGGAGGGTAGTCCCAGGGTGAGGGCGGGCCGTTGAAGGACCAAGGGGGAACCGGAGAAACGAAGAAGCCCTGAGGAGCTGGTGGGCTGAAGGGCCATGGCGGAGGTGAGGGAGGTAAGAGCCACGGTGGAGGTAATGGACCGGAAGGTTGAGGCAGAGGAGAGGAGGTAGAGGAGGAGACCGGGGATCCCCTGAGCCTGATGGAGTTGGTGGCAGGCAGACCCACAGCGACTCCACCTCCTCAAAGCACTCCGGGGAAGCAATGGGGCTGCCAGGCAGTGGTGGAGGAATGGTCAAAACGTGATGGTTAGGAGGAGGTGGGAGAGGGAGGCTGGGTGGGTGGGAATTCGGCCTCTGCCGCAGGATCAGCTGGCTCTGGCGCAGGATCAGCGGGCTCTGGCTGGACGGCTGGATGTCTCGAAACGAGGAACCCCTGAGGCTCGGTGTCCCGGATCGAGGCTCGACACTCTCCAGACACCGGATGACGGTCCGGAACAATGTGCACAGGGCTTCGTTCCCTAAGTCACTGGTGACCGCTATACAACAAAAGTCCCGGGCGAAAGAAAAAAACCACA